GGCTAGCACCTGGGACAAGAGACAACAGTCTCTTGCTTCTTCCATTTTGACCTGGATCTAATGCTGGAGGCCATGAGGGAGAGGAGGGAGATCTTCTTCCCAGAGGGAAGCAGGAGGAGACAAGATTGTAATGCAGCTGTGGTGCCTCTCTGTTCACCACCACCTTCCTCTCCCTCTAATTCCACCTCTCCTCTCACCTACTGGTCTTCCTCAAACAAGACATTCCCTTCCTGAAGCTTACTGTCCCCAAGTTCTACGAGTCCCAGGAGGGCCATGTTATAGACAACTCAGGAGGGTATCACAAGGACAGAGACCCTTGCACAAGGGTTTTTGAGAGTGCCACCTGACCAGTGCCAGGCAATCAAATTGCATCCTCAGAAACTGTGCGACCTGCTCAATGGTTGTCATGCTCAGCAGGTGGCACTGGTTGCATCTTGTCTGAGGGATCAGTAGCCATCTCTGAAATGATGATCTGAAGCAGCGTAAGTGGTTGAAGGATGAAGGATTCATGGCAAGTGCTAGGAAAACAAGCACACACATGGAGGAAGCTTTTGTAGGTGTAGTTTAGATGAATGTCGAGTGAGTAGGAGCCCTTCCTGTTGATGAATCTCACTGGCCAGTTGCTGAGTCCTTGTTATTCACAAACTGATAATGCTTTGCACTTGAAAAAATACAGCAATAGCAGCATAACCCAAAGCCTTTTGTCCCTGACAGGCCATGTGTGTTTGAAATGAATGCACGTTTATAAGGTGGTTTTCATGACCAATGAGATACAATGATGTGCTAATTGATGTTCACAGCTAATCCTTGGAAACAGCCAGAAGTGAAGAGGTTCAAGACTCAATTGACATTAATTGTCACTTGGAGGGAATGGCAAACAGTTCTCTGATATGCAGGGTCTTTAGCAATGAGGACACAGTTATCTGTGACTATCTGCCTAAAGAGATGCAATCTGCTGCAACATTGGATTGTGGCCATCTGCAGATAGCTTTGTCCCCACTGGTTGACCCCAAGTGAGGGTATAGCCTCTGTTGCCTTCCTGCCTCTCTTTTCCTCCATTGTCTCCTCTTACGTTGAGTTCTACCCGTCCTGCAAAAGGTGCTTAACTTGATTGCCAAGAGGTGCAAAATTTAACCATCGTGCCCCAATGGCCATTCTATAACCCAGATTCTTCAGGACGATAGGTAAGTCTCCCACAAAAATGCAAAGAAGCTTTTTCATAATGTTTTAAGCAGCTAACCAGTAGAATTACAGGTGAACTGTTGGTGAGAGGCAGTAGGAGATCAGGGCCATTTGGATGGTTGGACCTCAAATTAATGAAACAGTTAGCAGCCTGCTGCTGTAGCTTCTTAAGTTCTGAAGAAGAGTCATACCAGGTTAGAATTGCTAACAGTGCTTTTCTCTCCACATAGATGCCGCCAGACCTGCTGAGCTTCTCCAGCATTATCTGCGTTTGTTTCAGATTTTCACCATCTGCAGCATTTTGCTTTTCTCTTGGCGTGGCTTGCTGGATTCAGGTCACTGAACAGCAACAAAGTCAGTTTGGGTCCATCTCTGTTGGGTGGAGGGAGCAAAGAAGGCTGGGAAGGGACAGGCGAGGTGAGGTAAATCCAGAGCGGTGAACATAATATGATAGAATTCATCCTGCAGTTTAAGAGGAAGAAGCTTGAATCAGATGTAACAGTATTACAATTGAGTAAAAGTAACTGCATAGACATGAGGGAGGAGCTGGATAGAGTTGATTGAAAGGAGAACATTGCAAGGGAGCTGTAATAGCAGGAGTTTCTGGGGGCAATTTGGGAGTCACTGCAGAGATTCATCCCAAGGAGGATGAAACTTACTAAGGGGTGGATGAGGCAATCTTGGCTGACAAGGGAGGTCAGGGCAGCATAAAAGCAAAAGAGAAAGCATATACAACGTGGTGAAGATGATTGAAATCTGCATGATTAGGATCATGTATTGGGATTTTAAAACCAGTAAAGGGTAACTAAAAGAACAACACGGAGCGGGTGGGTTGGTGGAGAAGATGAATTAAGCTAGCTAGTAACATAAAAAGGAGAGATTCTTAGAAAAATAAAAGGTAAGAGAGAGGCAAGAATGGACATTGTCTCATAGAATCCATACAGTACGGAAGGAGGTCATTTGGTCCACATCAACGTTCCAAAGGGCACCCCACCCAGATCTACCCCTCAATCCTATCCCTGTAACCCTGCATTTCCCATGGCTAATCCACCTAAACCTGCACAGCTTTGGACTGTGGAAGGAAACTGGAACACCCAGAGGACACCCATGCAGACATAGGGAGAATGTGCAAACTCCACACTATCATCCAAGGTTGGAATAGAACTCAGGTCTCTGGCACTGCGAGACAGCAGTGCTAACCACTGAGCCACTGTACCATCAAGTCAGATAGAGGATTGGGCCACTGGCAAATGAGGTGGGGTACGTCATAATGGGGAACAAAGAAATGGCGGACGAATTGAATAGGTACTTTGTATCAGTTTTCACTGTGGAAGACACCAGCAGCAAACCAGAACTTCAAGAGAGTCAGGGGGCAGAGGTTAGTGTGTTAGACTTCTTGGAGGAGGTAACGAGCTAGGTAGATAAAGGACAACCTGTGGATGTGATTTTGAAAAGGTGCCATGTAGGAGGTTGCTAAATAAGAAAAGTGTCCATGGTGTTAGGGGTAAGGTACTGGCATGGATAGACGACTAGTTGACTGGCAGAAGGCAAAAAGTGGGGATAGAGTGGTCTTTTCAGGATGGCAGCTGGTAACTAGTGGAGTTCCACAGGGGTCCGTATTGGGACCACAACTACTCATGTTATACACGAACAATCTGGATGGAAGAGCTGAGGGTATTGTTGCTAAGTTTGCGGAAGATACAATGACAGGTGGAAGGACAGATAGTTTTGAGGAAACAGTGAGGCTGCAGAAAGACTTGGACAGGCTAGGAGAGTGGGCAAATAAGTGGCAGATGGAATACAATGTAAGGTTATTCACTTTGGTAGGAAGAATAGAAACATAGATTATTTTCTAAATTGAGAAAGACTTCGGAAATCTGAAGCACAAAGGGACTTGGGAGCCCTAGTTTAGGATTCTCTTAAGATTAACATTTAGGTTCAGTTGGCAGTAAGGAAGGCAAATGCAATTATCAAGAGGGCTAGAATATAAGAGCAGAGGTGTACTTTTGAGGCTGTATAAGGCTCTGGTCAGATTGCTTTTGGAAAACTGTGAGCAGTTCTGGGCCCTGTATCTAAGAAAGGATGTGCTAGTGTTAGAAAGAGTTCAGAAGAGGTTTACAAGAATGATCCTGGGGAATGAAGGGCTTGTCATATGAGGAGTGGTTGAAGATTCTGGGTTCGTACTCGACAGAGTTTAGAAGGATGAGAGAAGATCTGTTGAAACTTAGAGAATACTGAGAGGCCTGGATAGCATGGACATGGAGAAGATGATTCCACTAGTAGGAGAGACTAAGACCCAAGGGCACAACCTCAGAGTGAAGCAACAATCGTTCAGAACTGAGATGAGGAGGAATTTCTTCAGCCAGAAGTTGATGAATCTGTGGAACTCATTGCTGCAGAGCAATGGCCTAGTAGTATTACCACTGGACTGTTAATCCAGAGACCAAGGTCACATTCTGAGTTTGAATCCTGCCACGGCAGATGGAGGAATTTGAATTCTGGAATTAAGAATCTAACGATGACCATGAATCCATTGTCGATTGTCGGGAAAACCCACCTGGTTCACGAATGTCCTTGAGGGAAGGAAGCTGCCATCCTTACCTGGTCTGGCTTACATGTGACTCCAGACCCACAGCAATGTGGTTGACTCTGAACTGCCCTCTGGGCAATTAGGGCTGAACAATAATGCTGCCTGGCCAGCGACGCCCTCATCACATTAATGAAAAAAAAAGTCATTGACTGCATTTAAGACAGGTAGATAGGTTCTTGATTGGTAAGAACACCAAGAGTTACGGGCAGAAGGCAGGAGAATGCAACTGAGAAAAATGTCAGTCATGATCGAATGGCGGAGTAGATCCAATGGGCCAAATGATCTGTTCTGTTCTATATCTTATGGTCATATGATTTCATATATTGTTCATGTGCTCTCCAAAGGAACGCTGCTGATATATCTGGCTTTGCTTTATCCACAAAAATAATTTTCCCCCCATTACTGTTTTGAAAGTCAACACTTGTTGGTTGACAGGTACTACTGAAAGGTATGTCAATGCTGGTGCTCCATTCACAAACTAGTGAGTTATGTTCTTTTGGGTCTCACCTACATAATAGGATCCTGATTTAGTTAGATTCATGAAGTATTCCCCTGGGCTAGTTTATTACTTCAACCTTCTTTTAAACCATTAGCCATCATGATGACTACATGCTTGAAAAGCAACAGTAATTCTATTGTTTAGATTGAATTCACCTTCTGGGTTTCTATCGGATGGAGGGAGTTAAAATTTGCCAAGTTGAAGAATTAGTTCTGTTTATTCAATCAATTTTGTTAGTCATCTTGTCTTGCAAAGATTATTTATATAATAATCAATATCAATTTTTACAGTTCGATAACTTTCCTGTTTCACCTTTTTGGGAAAGTTCTTGATTGACTTCTTGTTGTCAGATTGTAGATTCATTTTGTAGAATTACGAGCAGGCATCCACTGGAACATCTGGAGATACCAGTTATCTCAAAATGTTTAAATAAAGATGAGATTTTAGTGTTTGAACCTCTCACAAAAGCAATTGCAGTGCTCAGAAATTTTAAATAAAACTTTAGAAGCAATTTACAGAGTAATTATTTCAAATATATTTCCATTCCTCATGATTTTAAATTTCATTTTGAAGGTACTAACATCTGAGCAGAAAGTTTGTTCTGAGTTTAGATCACTAGTGTTTCAGAGATGCCAAATTTGTACATGAATAGAGTTAACTTGTATAAATAATTTTACAGTCTTTCAAATAGGAAACTATGCTAATACAGGTATTTTGTTTTACCATTAGAATATACTCACATTAAATCCACGTGTGAAGACTTGTGCATCTCTGCGGTCGACAGCAACTACAAAGATGGACAAAACTCATTGGAAGCGCAATGCCAGTAAAAATTGCTCAGTAAGTACAGCTTTGAAAAGTCAGTTGAATGTTTCAGATCTGTTAACTTGCCATCTTGAATCAAAGGCAATGTATTTGTACATTTTATTCAAGGGATATATGGTATAAATAGCATATAGAAAATGATTTGCAATTTAATCTATAAATTCATAACTATTACATAAATGGGATTAGATTCTTGAATTCACTTGTCTACATTAATTCTTTCTGTATTGAAATTTATGGAGTGATAGGAATAAAAATGCCACAGATTAATAAAAAGTTAATAATCGGCTATTGTTAGTACTTACACTAACAGTCAAACAATTATTGATTCTATCTACTCATTGTAAAAACAGTGGCTTTTGAACAATACAGCTGAATGTTATGAACCATCCAGTCGTGGGAAAGCAGGCAGATATGGTGTGCCCGCCACGAGCTCACCCATCACTATGATTTTATGAGCAGTGCGTTGGAGACACCCTTCAGCAGGTCATTGACGTTCAACACATCTAAGTACCTGGTTCCATGGTTGAAGCCCACCTCCCTCAATTGATTTGCAGCACCAGTGGTCCTTTTGCATTCCCTGTGTGCAGACCTACTGGCCTCTGATTAGCTGCCGGCTCTATCAGCTGGGGATTCCTTCTGGAGATGGATGAACATTATGTTGATTAAATGATCTTTGACTGGGTTTTATCTAGTTTAACTTTAACAGCTTGTTGCAAAAATTAAGTTTATTATCAATGCATTTTAGATTATATGTTAGTTTTAAGAACTAATGTTTAACTGTAGGAAATAGGTTAAAAATCAATTGAAACATTGAAGGGTTGGAGTCAAGTTGCTTTAAAAGGATTAACATCGAGAAAGGTAAGGCTGAATTGTACAGTTTTTGGCCAAGTCTGAGTCATATTGCAGTTTTTTTGGACAGTTTCTTGCTGCAAGGCCTGGTGAGTTTTCTCATTGCCTCTTTCCAAACCGTTTGCCACTGACCTAATCCTGATGGTGTCTCTCATGTCCAGTTCTGGCCCTGTTTACCATACACCCTTCCCAGAACAGCTCATCCCTCAATGGATATCGCAGAATTCACTGCAATCCCTTGCGCTCATATCACCTTTAAAAGCCTGTTGTGAACCTCAACAAGCAAGGTTTGTCTGGAACTGCCCTGCAATGTTCTTGGCATTTGTCTTGGACATGGCAGACAGTGGGACATTGACCCCAAATGTCAGGCAGGGACATGGAGGTCCTTCTGGATGGGTTGGGGGTGGGTGGGTGCAGAATTGGGACATCCAGAACTAGCAGTGGAGGCTATGATGCTAAACTATACCAATCTGGGGCAAGATTGCCACTGGCTCAGTGCGCTGTCAGCCATCTGGAGGAATGCCAGCGACATAGGAAGAAAGTGAATGAGCTTTTACACTCTGCCAGTGTAAAGGCCGCCATCTGCTCTGACACCTCTACATCTCTGATACTGTTTCCATCTCCTAGCAAGACTCATGCCCTAACATAAAATGAAGATCTGCAGATGCTGGTGACCTGAAAACAGAAACAAAAGTTGCTGGAAAAGCTTGACAGGTTTGGCAGAATCTGTGAAGAGGAAGCAATGTTAACGTTTTGAGATCAGTGACCCTTCTTCAGAACAAAGGTTGGGCAGAACAGGGACTTCTGTTAATATACTACAGGCATGAATGGCAGAAGAAGCCTCTGAGAATCATTGATAGCGTTGCACCATTAACAGTAGAATGAAAGAAACCCACAAGCAGTGTTTACTTGATGCAACTGAGAAAGATTGAAGTGTTGAGAAATTCAACAGCAATTTGGTTAAACTAGCTGTTTTATAAATATTGAAATTGTGGCAGTAATTAGGTGTTTGGGAACAGTCTCAGTAGTCCTGGGGAACTTGGACCTGAGAGCAGAAATTGAGCTACCAAGATATGAGCAGTCATTGAGACAGTCTAAGCTGGAGAGACTTTGGAGAAAATTCTGAAGCCAGATCTTTGAAAGTAAAAAATCAGAATGCCTTCTAAAGGAGAGAACATTTTAATGAGATTTGGTGATCCATAGTGTCACTAATGTCTGAGTACAATCTATCTTGACCACTTAACACTTTACAGTATTGTCTGTGGGGTGTTTGACCAGTTTATCTGCTAGCAATATTTATATTTTATTAATTCTGATTTGTCGGATATATATTTATATATAAAAACATAGTTGATTGTTACACTGTTCTAAGCTTTTATGTTAAAGCTTACCTTGTTGGTCAAAGCCATGGAATCTTGTCACATCACTTTTCAAGCAAATACCTGAGATCTTACATTTTGTCTACTTTAAATTAGAAAAAAGATACTGCTCCTTAACCAGATCGTAACAAAAATTTGTTAGTCTCGTCTGGGGTTACAACAATTTATGTTGAGGCGTTAGGAAGTCAAACTAAACGTATAATCCCAACCTTTAAACCAGATAACCTTATAAACCATGAAGCAAAATAAATTACCCAGAAATGGTACTATTTGATCTTCTGTTCTAATATTATTGTGCTTGATTTGAAACTTCCCTTATTTCAATGCAGTACTTTTCTCTCAATGGTAAAGTCTGCATATTAAGCTGCATTAATCTTTAATTGAACATTACTGCTCACAGAGACAAAAAGATATAGCCCAGCATTTGTCATGAAAATAACAGACATGCTTTCAGCACTCATTGTTACTAAAAGGGAAGGTGTAAAACAATCTCCTGTGATCTTATTTCACTTTTTCTTTCCCCCTTTCTTTCACTGTCAATTCTATCTTTCTTATCCCTATTCTCATCTTTCTTAACCTACTTTTAGATGATGTTTGGCACATGATATAATGTTAAATTAAATATTCAAATTTACACTTTCTGGATTAGACACAGCGTGGATCAGTATGAATCTTTAATCTGATTAAGGTAAAGAACTTATCCTCCTAACAAAGGTCCAGATACCCTGCGGAGGACATTGCATAGAAAAGGATTTATAGGGGAGGTATGTTCCAGTGTTACTATCACTGAATAATTAATCCAGAGAACCAGATAATGTTGTGGGGATCTGGATTGGAATCCCATCGTGGCAGATGGTGGAATTTGAACTCAATTTAAAAAAAAGAGTCTGGAATGAAGAGTCTAATGATGATCATGAAACCATTGTTAGGGAAGTGTGGGGTTGGGAAGAATCCATCTGATTCACCAAGGAAACTTCTATGCTTGCCTAGTCAGTGACACACATACCCATGAATAATTTTTTTTTGAAAGGATTGTAATTTCCACTGCAAGTGCTCATAGAAACCTATGGACTCTCGCCATTGATCATGCAATCTGAGCTATTGTTTTACTGGTCAACCATTTAAATTGCCTATCTCATCCCCATCACATTAAGTGGCTACTATAATTTATGTAGTAGCTAACCTTAGAAATTGGGAAGTATATTCATTGCTGTAGTACATCTTATTCACTCACACTGGAATTAAAATTAAAATAGGATGGATTTAAATTCTTCTTAATGGACTTGTTTAAATATTGACATTAAATCCCAATCTTTCTAGACCAGTCATTAATCTGTTCTGTTGTAAAGAGATTGTTGACTGTATTAAAATAGTGCAGATAGGAACTGATTATTTTGTGCTGAGCAGAATGTGTAGAAGAAAGCAAATCACAAAGCACCTAGAAGTTCAGTGTCCAATTTTGAGAAAATTCTGTTTTTGAACTTTAATGTGATCTGCATTAGATTATCTTTGGCAATTGGTATCAAATATGCTGACAGATAGTTCATTTATATTTAGACATTCCAAATTGCCAATCTGAATTTCAAGGACATCATCAGCAAAGCTTCTAGTAAACTAGAGACAAATACGTAGAGTTCAACTAGATTCACATACGTGATGAGGCAAATTTGATTAGAGAGCTTAAGGTGAAGAAATCCCTAGGGACCATTGACAATAATATGATAGAATTCACCCTGCATATTGGGAGGAGAAGATGGACTCAGATGTAATGGTATTACAATTGAGTAAACGTAACTACAAAGACATGAGGGAGTAGCTGGATAGAGTTGATTGAAAGGAGAGTCTAACAGGGAAGATGATGGAGCAGCAAAGGCTGGAGTTTCCAAGAGTAATAAGAGAAGGCCCACAGAAATTCATTCTAAGGAAGAAGAAATACATCAAAAGGAGGATGAATCAACTGTGGCTGGCAACCAAAGTCATGGACAGCATAAAAACAAAAGAAAAACCATATAATGTGGTGAAAAATAGTGGGAAGCCAGAGGGTTGGGAAGCCTTTAAAAACCAGCAGAGTATAACTACAAAGGCAATAAGAGGGGAGAAGATGAAATATGAGGGTAAGCTACCTGGAAATATAAAAGAAGATTGCAAGAGTTTTGTTTAGATATCTAAACAGTAAGAAAGGCAAGAATCAATATTGAACCACCGGAAAATGAGGCTAGAGAATTAGTAATGGGCAACAAAGAAATAAAAGTAACTGCAAAGACATGAGGGAGGAACTAAATTGGTACATTGCATCAGTTTTCACAGCAATAGGCCTGGTATGCTGCTAGTGTCTTTGAGGGTCAGGAGGCAGAGGTGAGCATAGTGGCCATCACTAAGGAAAACATGCTGAGGAAGCCAAAAGCTCTGAAGGTGGATAAACCACCTGGCCCAGATGGACTACAGCCCTTGTGTTCTGTAGAAGATAGCTGAGGAGATTGTAGAGGCATTGGTGATAATCTTTCAGGAATCACTAGAGTCAGACAGGGTGCCAGAGGACTGGGAAAATGGCTAACGTAACACTCCTGTTTAAGAAGAAGTGGAGGCAGAAGGCAGGAAGCTATAATCTGGCTAGTCAGACATCAGTCATTAGTAAGATTTAGGAGTCCACTTTTAAAGATGAGATTTCTGAGTACTTGGAAGTGCATGGTACAATAGGGCTGAGTGAGGACAGCTTTGTCAAGGAGAGATCATGCCTGACAAACCTGTTAGAATTCTTTGAGGAGGTAATGAGCAAGTTAGACA